TTATTTATTTTATTTTATAAATTTACGCCAATCGGCTTTTTTACATAGGTATAACAAAAATAACATTGTATATATATTAAAACAGTAGGTAATACAGGGGATGTTGATAAGAGTGACAGAAAAAAATATGTACTATTAAGGCCAAAGATCAAAATTATTATTATTCGACGAGCGCATAGCTCTAACTAAGGGATCGTTCATCAGGAAGTTGGACCTTGAAGTGGGGAAGAGGAATGGCTCTTGAGATCTGGTATGAAAACTTGGAATACGTATATTAATGCGCTCCAGGAGTCGGGGTGCATCCACCTTCCCATGAAGTAGGTTAAATAACAACAGGTGGTCAGCTCTTTCTCGTCGATTTTTAAGAGAACACAGTTTTAATGTATTCATTACTGGTATGTAATTGTGCTGAGGGTGGTTAATTTTAAGTAGAAATCCGGCAAGACTATGGAAACGAGATTGAACTCTTTCGATAAGTTTTGTCTCGACTTGAAGTGATGGGTTCCAAACTATCGATCCATAATCCAAGATTGATCTTACAAGGGAACAATAAAGTGCAACCAAGCAAGGCGCTGAATTGAACTCAGTGGTATGACGACGAATGAAACCTAAAATCTTTAAGGCCTTGCAGGATATATAATCTATATGAGATCTAAAAGATAGAGTTGGTGTATATATGAATCCAAGATCTTTAGTCTCTTGAACTCGCTTTAGAGGTATCCCGTTTATTGTGTAATTAAAATCAATACATGTTCTAGATCTATAGAAGGACATGACTTTACATTTGTCTTCGTTGACATTTAGGCCAACTGTTTTACACCAGATCAAAAACCCATCTAATGATTCTTGAAGGACATGGCAATCATTTATTGAAGATATCTTAGCAAAGATATCTTTCTATTATGCATCTTACTTTTTATTTATGAAAATGTAAATAAAACTACTAAATAACAATATGTACACTATATAGCTAGCTTAAACCTACTTATGGTTGCCACAAAAAAATATTTGTCGTGGTCAATTGAGGTAATCAAAATAGTCGACCACCACTGACTTAAACAATAATTGTAATGGTTCATAAGTTATAAGGTGCTGCTTGGATATGCGGTTTTCAAGTGCACGCGTTCTACAACCATACCTTTATGTAGATTGTAGACTGCATATCCGAACAGCAATGAAAAAAAAACAATACAATTGGCCAAAATATAATTTGCTGTATAAGTATACAATATAGTTTTGTATTTTCCACCTATTATTTAGTGAATTTAATAAGTTTGTTATAGGTAGTAACCCAGGCCGGTGGTCCAACACTCAGCCCGCCCTCCGAATATGCCTCCCAGCTTTTTTTTTTTACCCCCTTTAGAAAACATATATTTAATAATTGTAGTACATTAAGTGTGATATATTGAAATGAAAACTACACAGCGGTCTACCATGGATGAAGAGTTTATGGACCTTAGGTTTTTGGACTTAAAAATGGTTCTGAATGCTGAATGCTGATATTTTTATATTTTATGTTCTTCGAAGAGATAAAAACACATGACTGAATATTATTCTGCGAGAATGTGAAGCGTGCTCTGTTATTCATTTAGACGAGTGGGTGATTTATAAATGATTGAATAATAATGGATGTATTCATAAAAACTGTAAACCATCAGCAAAACTACGTCGATCCTCTGACAAGGGCTCAAACCCTGCAAGGCGTGGAAAGATCATCGTTGTATGCAAAGACAAAAATCATGTAAACGATGTTTGGCATAACCACACTTCAATCGCACCTTTACCATTATTATTGGACAATTACTACAGAAAAGAAGAACCTGACTTATTTAGTAAAATTTTCCCACTAGCTGAAAATATTTAATAAATATTCGGTTATTATAGGTAGGCCTATCAGCCTATCTGAACTCTTATAAGTTTTTGATTTAGCTTCACAATATACATTCAATTTATGAATTGAAAATTAGAAAAATGTAATGTAATATATTAATTAGGTATTATGAGTTATAGTTTTATGTTAAATATTTTATACTAGAAAAAAAATCTCACTATTTGCATTGCGTATGTCGTATGTGACATATTGTGTTATGCGTCGGTTGGTATAGGTATACCAAGACATTAGTATTTGAGTAATCAGTATATTATTAGTTCATGTGGCCATGCGGGAATGCGTTACGGTTACACCAACATGTCGATGGGCCGTGTCATATTACGTAGTGACAACTGAATGACAGCTTTTGCGACAGCTATGGAAAAGCTTATAGCGTCCTATAATCAGGTATTTATTTATTTATTTATTATTAAGTTTAACGGGACAAACCCTTTTACATGGGATATAATAAATAATGATCAAGAACAACATGCCAAAATAATTAATGCAGTTTGAAAGGTGAATTATAACAAAAATTTACATATATATAAAATAATTAAATTTCAATTAGATAGTAGGTATAAAGCTTTTGTTTTAAAAGATTCACGAGACATAAAAAAGAAATCGACTTCATTACAAATTGAATTACATAATAATAGAGCTCTAGGAAAAAATGAATCTGAACAGATTTTTTTTTTATAAAAAGGTACAAAAAATAAACAAGAGTTTCTAATCGAATAACTATGAGTACAAATACTAATTTTACTTAATAAATCAGAACAATCAATATAATTATTTAGAAGATCATAAATAAACATGACGTCAGATAACTTACGCCTAACCTCACAAGGCTGAATATAAATAGAATTAGCTACTAATGAAAATGAATCTCTAGAAATGGGTAAGTTTAAACGAAACGATATAGACTTAAGGAATTTATACTGAACATTCTCAACCAATTTATCAGTACAATTTTGAGCCCAGATTATTGAACCGAATTCAGTATGGGCAAGATACTCAAAAAACAGTATTGCGACACTAGATACTACCTATATAGGTAGATACTTGGATTTGGAGAATCGAGATACTAGATTTAGATACTCGATACTTACATTTTAAGTATTTAAATATTCGATGCATTTGAAAAAATCAGTCATAGCCTACGACGCATAGAATTTTTTTTAAATTTTATTTATATACGATTAGGTAGATTGTGAGTCTGGACAAATTAATTTAACCTTAAACTTCCAAATATTAGTTAAGTATAAATATATTATAATAAGTCAATCGTTAAATTAAATAAATAAATAATTATACAAATAAATTATAGACATCATCATATCGAATAGTATATGCCACGACAATAAACGTCAAATGCATTTAACTTTAAAATTTCAAATATTATTTAAGTATAATAGTAGATATAAATATATTATGATAAGTCAATTATTGTTAAATTACATGAATAAATATATTTTAAAATTTATTTTATTTATTCCTGGTAGGATTATGATAAAATTAATTTTTTAAAGTATTGAGTATTTTTTGGCAAAATTATTTTGTGAAATGCTCGATACATTGTCTAAAATTGTATCGAGATTCGAGATACAAGATACAAGATACAATTGTACCTAAGATGCGTATGGCGCGTATCTTAGATAGGTACTTGTACCTATCGAAAATACTGCCCAACCCTGCCTATAATTTACGCTGTCGCCAATTCGAATGTCATATCTTGAAAATTACTAGTGTCCAGGTTTTAAGATTATTAAAAAATTATTCGCTCTCCTGAGGAATATTTCCCTACCATGTTTAGCTCTGTACTGTAATGTGCTCCTTGGCTCCTAAAGATCGTGCGTCCTAGGCAAGACGCACTACTTGCCCGGGTTGCCTCAGAGTAAATCACAGTGGCATATTTAGGCCCTGAGGCCCCAAGGTATGTCCAAGTGGGTCGGTCACAGGATCTTTACCATTACATAAAAATAAACACTGAACATTTTTTTTTAAAATTAAAATTATATTTGTGTCGAAAATAATTTGATTTGAAATACCTACAAAAAAAAGCCTTATGGCTCTAGGGTCACCAACAGGACCATATTTACAATTTTTGCGCCCTGGGTCAACCATAATTTTACGCCCCCCCCCAAGTTTTTCGCTACACCACTGGTAAATCCGCCTATGGTCACGCGTCTCGTGTAAGTGGCGATTCATCAATAGGTACAATGATTGTGAATAAAGTCGTCTATTTTTAGAATTTGGTGTATTCGACTTTTCGAAATGTCTTATACCTATACGAATAAAACTATACATATATAGTATATTATACAAATATTTTTTGAAAATGATGAAAATACTCTTCAAATGCTGACGATGCTGACAGTGGTGCAAATAAGAAAATTGTTAGGGGGGGTCTCAAGCCCCCAGAATTTTGGTAAAAACTATAGGTATGGATATATTACATTTTTGATTTTTGAGTTTTCACGCAGCTGGATGCCGAGAACTTTGACCAAGTGTCACATTTTCAGACTAAATATTTAAAAATCATGATTGGGAGGGGAGGGGGGTTGATACTGTTTTAAGTGGGTATAATTACTCAGTCTGTAGTCCTGGCAGAGACACCAAAAGTGTCCACAATGTAGAAGATAATATTTTCTGTGTCGTAGCGTTTTTATTTGTTTGATATCTTTAATAAGAAAAAAGTTAGAATACTTTTAAAAGTCTGATATTTTTACGTTTTTCAAACTTAAATACTTTTTGGTACGCCTGTATAGGCTTATCGAAAAAATGAAAACGCTAAAATTCTATTCATGTCAAAAATTTGATTTCTTAGTTATAAGTTATAACTGTAGCCTTCTTGGTTGTTTCCCACGCGAAACAGTTTTTCCTACATTCTAAATTTGTAAGACGGAGACAACACATGCCCATGTGGCATCTTCTTAAGTATACTAAGATAAATCACAGATCAAGGCTAAACAGCAAATAGGTGCCTAACCATTTAACTATATTATTACATAATCTGCGATCTGTGATAACATGTCAACATGATACGCATTATCATTTACATAAGATTTTGTCCACAGATAGTGTTTTGTCAGTAGTATTATCATTGAGCTTAGAACTTTAGACTTTAAAATTTAAATTAGAAGTGTATAGAAAGCCTTATGATACATTTAAATATTCAATACTCATTACTTGTGCACTCAATGGTATTATTATGTATCAATAATGTGCAAATTTACAAAAGATTGTTCTGTACAATCAATGTTCAATACTTTATACAAATTTGGCCTTGGTGTCTGAGAGTATGAAAGTTAATTGAAAAATAAAACAACTTATTATTTTGGCTATTTAAATTAAATAGATAATTATTATTCTATTACATAATTATTTAGAGTAGATTTTATAGAAATAGTATACCATAGTTATTGTCCGTTTTAAAGCAGTTAAATGAGCGGCAACAAAAAACGTTTTACTGTAAGTAAATTTTAATCTTTATCTTGTTATATTGTTACTATTAGCTATTTTATTTGAACAAGAAATAATATTATCTATTTTAATATAATCAATTTATTTCACTTAAAAAATTGATTAGTATCTTACATACTTATGTAACCAATTATCATAAGTCTAACAATGAAAATTAATATTGCTTATTTAGGTATTTATTATTTTATGTAATACATTGGAACACACTTATGTGACACACTCGTACAGTAGTTATTTCCAATTTAAAATTGGCACATCTTTTTCATTCCTTATTGTGATTCAACAATCCGATAGTGAAATGAGTCATCAGACATCAGTTATCTGTAATACACTATTATATTATACACTATTATTCTTTATTAACATTGTGTGTTCTACAGCAAAAAAAAGGTATGCTCAAGACTGTAAACATTGATATCATTGAACAAATTGTTGTTATTTAATTTTTTTAATATCATTGTTCAGGAGTTTCTTTATTATTTGTGATAATATAGCATAATAGGCAAAGTGGATGAATTCACCTTGGTAGTAGGCGTCTCTTATGTTAAAATGTTCAGTTTTTATTGCTTCTATGTCATAATTAATTGTTTTAATTATTGAAATAGACAAAATACGGAACAATGTCTCATACCAAAAAGTTTGATTCATTTTCTGAGAAAGAAGACTCAGTACCAATTGGATCATTAAATATTTTATCAGCAAAGTATGAGGTGAGTAATTGTTTATATATTATAACACAAACATAATGTAAAATGTGCATTTATGTTTTTAATTTTTATATTACATATTTACATGTACCTACAGTTTAAAATGTTAAATACAATATAGCTACTTATCATGTTGTGATTTATGAAATAGTCGAGAGAAGCATTTATACTTCAATATATTAATGTAATAGTTGTTTGGTACAAATCCTGGAAAAAATCCCTTAAGGAAACACTTCCCAGACATTTCTTGTCTTTGTCTTACAAGTGCGTAACTTACCGAATTTTACGCTCAGCAGATCATGTTGAGCTCTGTAATTTTAAAAATTAGAGTGAATTGACCTATTAAATTTAAATGTGAGATTATCATGGCATCTCATGGGCTTTTTATTATATTTTAATTTTAAAGCTAGTTATGAGTATTTTAAGATGAACAAACAATTTACAATTTTAAAATACTGATAACTCGCTTTAAAATTAAAACATAACAAAAATCCCATGAAATGCTCTAGATAATACCTTACCTACCTTTAAATTTTAAATTAGGAGGTTAATTCACTCCAATTTTTAAACTTACAGAGTTAAACGTAATCTGCTGAGCTTACAATTTGCTATGTTATGCACTTGTAAGATGGATACAACAAATCAATGTGTAGCGTCCTCTTAACAATGGTTAAATTTTTGGAATTTTTAACATGTATAATCTAACATCCTGAAATTTTTAACAAACAATTACCTAACTTTATTTCTAATAATTTTATATTTAATTTAGTTGTTATTATTATTATTATATAATTTATAAAATTATTCTTATCAATTATTCCTATTAAATTAAATCATGATGATTAATTTTTAAGAAAATATTTAAATATATAATTTTTATATTAAATTTATTTGATAGTGTGATACTATCCCATGTACTATAAATTGAATGCCTTATTTGTTCAATATTTGTTTAAATAATGTGCACCTACTTTAAATAGTTTTATTGGAAATAATAATGAAATAATTTCTTTTTAGAGTTTAGATTATGAAGTTGTTGAAAACTATGTTTATCGCGAGGAAGAGCGAAAAAAAGGTTACCCTTTTGTAGTGAAGAAAAATGTTGTAAGATGGATTATTTTTTTTTGGATTGGTGTAATCACTGCTGCCGTTGGTATTATTATTGATTTATCAATAGAAACTATTGCGGGTTTGAAATTTAATCATGTTAAAAAATGTATCCTTTTATGATTTTATTCTTATTTGGTTTATAATTTAACATGTCATATTATGATAAATTCTTTAAGGATTATAAATTCCTTAATTATATACCCACCATTAGATATTGACAAATGTAATCAATCAGACTGTTTATGGAAACCATATTTATTATTGTTGGCTTACAATATTGTACCAGTTTTAATTGGTTCTACATTAGTTGCTTATGTTGAAGTAGGTATATTTAAAATAAATACTAGTATATATATTTTTTTTATTATTTACTATTGGTTAATGTAATATAACTTTTCTAGCCAGTTGCATTGGGATCTGGAATTCCTCAAGTAAAATGTTACCTCAATGGAATTAAAATACCAAGATTAGTTCGAATAAAAACTTTATTTATAAAAGTTATTGGTGTAATTACCACTGTTGTAGGTGGCATGTGCGGAGGAAAGGTAAATTATTAGTTAATATAATTTTAGTTTACTACTTAAGATTTTAATCTAACTAATTTTGATTTTGTACTACCTCAATTACAACTCTCTAGTTTAGGGTAGGTTAAAAGGACTTATTGGCTATTCTATGTTTTATAAAAAATGTAAATTTTAGTTATTTTGTTGTGGCTTGAAAATATTATTTGTTGGTGCTTGAAACTTTTTAAACGTATTATTATATTTTATACATTCAATGACATTTTTCGAATGCAATTTTTTGACAAAAATTAATTCAACATATTGTATTACTAACGTTTTCTAATAGTAAAACAAATTATTTTAATAGCAGTAATAACATAAATTATACTTAATAATATAAAAGTAGGCTGACAGGCCAGTTTTATTTAAAATTGTTTTTTCTACACAATTATTTCATATCATTGAATTCCAATTATACATATCCATTACAATGACCCCCATGGATCGTGATGTACAGCTGGCTGGTACCAATTTATCTTAATTTTTTAGTTTTAAGCGGTTGTTGAATTAATGAACATTTTATTAAGCATTCACTACAGTATTTTTAAAATTTTAATTTAAGAAATAAAACTCTTATAATTGCCTATAGGTGTTAGTTATGAATTATGATTAAAGTTGTCAAAAGTTTTAAGATAATTTTTATTTTAGGAAGGTCCGATGATTCATGCAGGTGCTGTTGTAGCTGCAGGAATTTCCCAAGGAAAAAGTACCACGTTTAATAAAGATTTTGGTGCTTTAAATTACTTCAGGGAGGATCACGAGAAAAGAGATTTTGTGTCTGGAGGTGCTGCTGCTGGAGTCGCAGCTGCTTTTGGTTCACCAGTTGGTAAGTTTATTATTATTATTGCTATTATTTATATTAAACAACTTGTACATTTTTTTTAAGGTGGTGTATTATTCAGTTTAGAAGAAGGAGCTAGTTTTTGGAATCAAGGGCTTACTTGGAGAATATTTTTTGCATCTATGATTTCAACATTTACACTAAATTTAGTTTTGAGTGCATATCATGGCCATCCTGGTAATATACCTGCTAACTGTGTACTTAAAATAAAACATGAAAACGCTGGAATTTATATTTAATCTGATCATGAAATAGGTGAATTAACATTTTGGGGCTTATTGAATTTTGGCAAGTTTAGCAATTTTGCGTTATCTTATGAAATGTTTGAATTACCAATATTTGTTTTTATGGGAATTATTGGTGGACTAACTGGAGCATTATTTTGTCATCTTAATTATAAACTCACCGTATTCAGAATGAGGTAATTTATTGTTTCATTGTTAATAGTAATTTCTTAATTTATTGTAAACAAATAAATAATTTTAAAATTAAGAAAAAAAAACCTTAAAGGAAGTTATAACTATGTTACTATCTTACTATCACTTTAATTCTAAAAAAAATGTTAGACAATCCTTTTAATCTTGACACTTGCTGTCAGCAATTAGATTTTTAAGTGTTATTTTATTTATTTGTTTATTTTTTATCTTGTATTAATTGTACTTAATATATTCCAGTAACTAACAATATAGTAATACAAAAAATTCAACTATTAACAATAACTTTTTATTTGTCAAAACTAAAATATATTTGAGATCTATAAATAGAGTAAGTTTATAACATTATTCCACTAAAAATATTTCCCATAATTTCTTATATTTTTTGTCTAAAAGGGTTAGGTTAGTCCCTGCAATGACTTTAGTTGTTGGTTTTGTTGTTTGGTCGAAATTTGTGTTGTGTGAGAGATGAGGATACAACACAGATACCAAATGCAAAATTTAATATAAAATGTATATCAGACTTTATAAGAACAAAATACTTCTATGAATTACAGTCTGTAACTTGGAATGGTAAGTGGTTGTTATCATGGACTTGGTTATTGTTGTAAGACGCCACTAAAGCAACCCTTGGTTTGTACGTTCAAACGGCTCAGTCCTCTGTTATACCTCTTCAGTGTTCGGGTAAGGTTGGAGTGTCGACAGAGCTGTGTTAGTTGTATCCATAAGAGGTGGTTTGATAGGAATGAGTGTCAACCAAAGTGCGCATTTCTTGTACTTTGTACTTGATACTGTTGTGGACCACGTAAAGTTAATACATAAAAATATACAGCTAAAATATTAGCATAGGTTCATAAAAAATTTGTTTTAGTTAAAACATTTAGTCATATAGATAATCACTAATCAATATTAAACATTTAGGAAATACAACACTTTATTTATTTTATTTTATTTCCTAGGCATTTGGTGGATCGTTGGAAGAAAGTTTTAGAAGCAGTTCTGGTTTGTTGCTGTACAGCAACTGTAGGAGTTTTGTTAATGTTGTGGCAAAATGATTGCAAACCTTTGGGCCTTGATCCAACAAAAAATCCTGTTCAGGTTATTATCATTTTATTTTTAATTTTAATAAATTCACTGCGGGTTCATATAACTTATATATTTTTATTAGTTATCCATAATTTTTTTTCTTGGTTGATACTTGATAATATCAAATGAATTTCACAATTCATTGATATTTCATACTGATTTATGAATTTTATTGTTATTATGGAAAATTAAGTTTTACACATGTTTTCTGTGTTTAGTTAAATTGTAATGATGGTGAATATAACTCTATGGCGTCATTATGGCTTCAAGTTCCTGAAGCATCAGTTAGATCTTTTTTCCATGACCCAACAGGTAAATTGTAATTTTTAGACATAAGCTTGTGCAGGTGATAGTTAGGGTAGGCACTTGACTACTTTGCAAACTTTCCCCCTGAATATTATCATAATATCTAATCAATAATCTTATTAGTTATTATGATCAAAATAAATTAGACAAATAATTAGTTTTCATAATTTATGGTAGTGGTGTATTCTAGGGGGGGGATGAAGGAGGGGCAATTGCCTCGACACAACTGTTGAAAGTTTTTCTCGGGGGGAAGAAGGCTTAAAAAAAAATATGTACCCAAGGAAGCAATCTTAAACATGTCACTGACTTAGGTGTGAATAAGAATATTTTTTTTATGTGTGTGTATTAATATCATTATGTTATGTATGACTACCCTGCCAGTAATGTCTGTGCACGCTTATGTTTGTGGACTGATTTTAGAGATTTAATATGCTTATAATTTACTATTGGCAGTTGCTAAAAGTTGTAATGTTTAATGTATTTTTTAGAATCACTCGATGCAACTACATTAGTGTATTTCGCCATTTCTTTTTATCTACTTACAGTTTGGACATATGGCTTAAGTGTTAGTGCTGGCCTTTTTATTCCATGTTTAGCTACAGGTGCAGCATGGGGACGACTTATCGGACTTGGAGTTCAGTGTGTATTTCCAAATGTAGTAAGACTTTTTTTTTAGTTGTATTATATTCATAAAAAAACATTTATTTGCTATTTATGTGTATACTTTTTTTTAAGTATAGAATTTTTCAAAAAATTTTTCTATGTATTAATATAATGATATACTTAACACATAACTTATTTTAAGGATGTTGGAAAATATGCATTGGTTGGTGCCGCATCACAACTTGGTGGTGCTGTTCGCATGACCATCAGTCTTACGGTTATATTAATTGAAGCAACTGGGGATATAACATTTGGTTTACCACTTATGATTTGTCTTCTAACAGCAAAATGGATTGGTGACTATTTTACAGAGGTTAGATACCTTAGTATTTAATTGAATAAATACATTTTTTTAAATTTATTATTAAATTAAAAATATTTATGTTTATTGAAAAAAGTATTAATGCTTATACTATTATTTTCTTTTATACAATATTTTTTATTATTTTTAGAGTATTTATGACATTCACATACAATTGAGTGGAATACCGTTGATGGCTTGGGATCCTCCACCACTATCATCAAATATTTATGCTAGCGAGGTCATGTCATATCCTGTCACAGTGTTTAAATCAAAAGAATCAGTTGGAAAAATTGTTGACACTTTAAAAAAGTATACATATAATGGATTTCCAGTAGTGGATGATGTTTTCAGCGCTGATACGGTAAATAAAAAATGAATTATAAAAATAAAAATGTAGTTTTCATTAAATATATTTTGTGTTTTAGGAAGGAGGTAACAATAAACCTAATGGTCGCTTACGTGGATTGATACTTAGATCTCAACTTATTGTACTGTTACAAAACAAAGTATTTAATGAGATTCCTTCTGCTTGGGATAATGTTTCTTTGACTACTTTCCGAAAAGATTATCCGAGATATTCAAATATAGATGTAAGTCAAATTTCATAGATATTTAAATTATAACATACATTATCATTCTTATTTTCACTGTTGTGTTAAAATTTTTATAAATTGTATTAACAAAGCACCACTATAATCAAAAATATCTTACTTTTTTGAACATAACATTCATATAAAATAAAATCATGATGAATGTTACAAGTATTATTTTTTAGAATGCTCGATTTAAGTTAATTTGTTGACGTTATGTGAGTGAAATTATTCAAATACTTATAATTCCAATAATATGACAATTCTTCATTTTATACATCAATGAATAATGAGTGTAGAAAATGTTAAAGTTATAGGTATACATTTATTTTTTATGAAGAAAACATGAACGTGAGATGTACACAGTTTTTGTTTTTTTGACATAGAAATTCATATAATATTATTATGTAAGAATCTAACTAGAGTTAGCCTAAAATGTTTCAAAGTATTTTTCATTCTTTTCTATTGCTGTTTACAATAAATATTAAATATTTTGAGTGTGCTCCTCTAATTGTATCTATAAAATTAATAATTATATTTGTAATTGACCTGTGTAATATGTCGAAATAACTAGTAATTAGCTTGAATACAATAAGTATATAAGTACTAATAGTACTATGCTTACATTTTTGTTTAGAATATCGAAGTCTTGGATAGTGAACGACAATATACAGTTGATCTATTAAGATTTATGAATCCATCTCCATATGTCGTACAGCTTGTAAGAACATACAATTTTAAATTAAATGTTAGGTTTATTTTTATTGCATATAAACTAAAATTTTCAACAATTTATTTACCTAGATGGCATCATTGCCAAGAATTTTTCGACTTTTTAGAGCAATGGGCCTTAGACATATTGTTGTCGTTAATGATTCAAATGAGGTATTTATTACACAGATAATTACTTAGTAAGATATACATAAACTGATGATATTTCATATTCACTTTTTTTTAGGTAATTGGTGTTGTGACCCGTAAAGATCTTACCCGTTATAGAGTATGGAGACATAGAGGGTCAATTGGTGTTGAAGAACTTAAAGTGTCTGCTAAATTGTGATAACTTTTCTTATTCAAATTAATCTATTCTTATACTATATTCCATTAACTACGAAAGTTATCATTCTTTATTGTACATTAGTCGTTATATTTTATCAAAATAGTATGATGTTCTATATTTTACTTATTTAACAAATGTCAATTTATCAGCATTATTATAGAAAATATTTTTTAAAATTTAGTGTAAATCAATTGTCCTTAAACTGTGATACCCAGGGCCATGTGGTAGGAGTACCACACAGATTATTAAACCAATATTTTACATTTGTTTGTAACAGATCTAATAGCTATTATATTATGTTAGGTGTTTTTAGATACTTAATACATTTTTATATGTACATAAATTATTATTTTTATGCATTATAATTTTTATAAATGTATTTTAATAGTTTTATTTAGTTCTTATATATTCATTTGTGACACAACATACAAGACTGATCCAAAATAAGTTAATTCAAATGTTTGGGAACCTCTGGAATAAATAACATGTGATAACTGTAAAATATAATTTTGGTATGAAAGAGAATTACCAGGCAGTGGAACAATTATTTCTTTACTTCAATTGTTATTAATTGTAATATTATATTGGCAATAACATAATTACTAGAAATAACTTTATTTTAAATTGTTATTCAGTCATTTCAATGCTTTGAAGAAAAAAAATTATTTCTGAATAGATATTCAAATATTCTATGTAGTATGCAAAGTACACACTATTAATAACTTGGAAAAATTAATTGATGAATATTATTAAATGTATACTATTTTTATAATTCATAATATTATACAATAACACACATATTTAACTTAAAATCACTAATTTTATGTATAAACAGTTCTACGTTATATTTTTAAATTGTATTATTTAGACTATTTTTATTCTCAACCAAATTTATACTACAAATATGTGTGGTTATTGTATTCAAGACTTACAATAATATAAAAATTTTAGTTACGCTCCATAATATAAATTTATTTATATATTAAATATAAGTCATAGGTACATAAAACCGATCTCACAAATGAGTTTTCTTTAAATACTAAAAAAGTTCTATTAGTGAATAATGAATTTGTAGGTATATCAACTTCAATTATTTTTAAAATAAAAAATGAAGAAAAAAATACAATTATTATACATATATTTAGGTGCTCCAACAAGACCTAAATTGAATTTCTATATAATTAATCTAACAAAACTTCCATCTGTTACCACATTCATTGCACATAACAAAGGTTGTCATTGGTTCATCAGCACTTCTTGTCTGGATTTGGTTGTACGTACAGTTTCGTTTTTTACATTTACCACATTTCAATAAATCAGTTGAAGTTCCCTGTACAGTCGCCAATTGAGCATCATCTATAGATTCTTTAATGAGTCTATTTCTCAATGTTTTCATCTCGTTACTGGCCATCTCTTCAGCAGTCATTTTAGCTAATTGAGCAGGAGTAATTGCGCCAGCAATGAAATTGCTTCTTAGTTGTGGGTTTTTAGCATCTCTTAGATTTGAGTATCTACTTCTTACTCTATTTTTGTAACGAGCATCAGTGTTTTTAAACTCGGAGTAGATAGCATCTTCTAGTTCATCAGCAAGTTCTTCGATCGACGCACAACCACCAAATTCATCTTCAGTTTTCAATGCGGTGATTAGTAAATCGCGACATTTGAGACGTATTGCATCTGTGGTTGATGGTGTTGGAAATACGACTGGTTTTGGTGTATCTTTCTTTGTATCTATTTTTTGTTCTCTTTCCTCCGATTTCTTGCGCTCTTTTTTATCCTTCTTCGGCTCTTGAGGTACAGATTTGTCTCCACTTAATAATTTTTTCCAATTTTTAATCAATGCCTTCGAAAATGTAATTACTTCTTCATCTTTGCAGCTTTTTCGGAATGAATTGACAGTCATTCCCACACGAGTCTTAGTAAGTATGTCTAGTGTAATCGGCAGGTCTTTAAGAGCTTTCAATAAATCAAGTGCTTGGGTTTGGTCAGCATTTTCGTCAGACATGCTTTGTAGCTTGTTCTGTATTTTAATTATGTCTTTTTCGACCGACATTGTGAATACGGAATTGATTATAAATCAACGTTCATTAACAGGTAAAAGCCTTACCAAACACTGATGTCTGAACGATTGATTTAATACAGTGCGTGTTTGAAAAATCGTATATTTCACGTGATAATGTAAAGTATAGACAGTAGACACGCCACATACGTTACAGACTGACGGAAAATAAATTATATTTTATTATAAACAAACACGGCGGCGGCGTGAACCCTCCAAAACAATTATTATTAAAATGAAGAATGAAAGTTGAAATATAAAAAAAAATGTTTGATAGTAAAAATTGGACGCAAGCAGGTATTTTAAAAACAGTCACACCAACATAAGCCGACAACGATTAATGCACGCACTGTATAGGTGTATGGTATCACGACCGCCGCCAGTTGATTACTTGTTATCTTTTGACTGACTGATTGACCTGTTTGAAAGGTTTGAATTTAAGGTATTGACAAATTTGATTTAAATCTGTTAAATCTCAATAATTAGTAATACTTTAGGGAGTAGTTGTATGTCTTGATTAATATAATAAATAAATAGCATATAACTTTTATTTCTGATTGCTAATTTTCTACTCATAAATACTTGGTGGTTGTTACCACTTGGAACTTAGCTTTTTGTGATTTTCCAAATTAGTATACGTAAAGTGATGGCTATCTGCATAACGTTAACTTAATAAATAATTTTTTGGACGTTTTGTATTTTTTTAAGTATTCAGTTGCAGTATATCATCATAAATTTTACACGTGTTCTTTAAAAAAAGATTTAAACATGATTTTAAAAAAGATTTCTCTTTCTTGTCGTACATTTGTACGTTTTTGTCATTCAAATGTAAGTGATCAAGCTGCTTTATTTCAATCCTACTTTACATGTTTCAATATTGATGTGAGCATTTTTAATTATAAACATTTGAAAACAACTTTCTAGGTTAAATGGAAGGAGAGAGTATTCTCTGGTATTCAGCCAACAGGGACCTTGCATTTAGGTAACTACTTTGGTGCTGTATCCAAGTGGGTTCAACTACAAAATGAAAACAGAGAAGTCATATTCAGTATTGTTGACATGCACTCCATTACTTTGCCTTATGTTAGTTTAATATTGTATATTATCTATTATAAACTATGATAGCTGTGTTAGTAATTTGTATTTTCTATTTTAATAGAATACTAAAGAATTGAAAAAAAATGTCTTCCTCATGACAGCTAGTCTAATTGCATGTGGAATTGATCCTAAAAAAAGCACCTTGTTTCTGCAATCTCAGGTAATTTAAATTGTTTGATTATGATTTTAAAATATTGTTTTTTTGATATAATATTACAATATATAAACTCAGTGTACTAAAAGTGTAAAAACTTAAAAAATAATAATCCATTATTACTGTATTTCTTATATAGAAAAATAACTAGTTTAGAGTAATATATCACAACAATTTTTACCTGATTGTAAATTCTATTTATCATAAGGTACCTGAACATACACAATTAAGTTGGGTTCTTGGATGCTTAACTACGATGCCTAGATTGGGCCAGTTGCCTCAATTTAAAGAAAAGTCATCAACTTTGAAAGATGTTCCTCTTGGTTTGTACTTATATCCAGTTTTACAAGCTGCAGACATACTTTTATATAAGTAATCAATTATACTTTCTATCTAATGTTTTCGTTATTGGCCTATTTTATTTGTCTTAGAGCAACTAAAGTACCAGTCGGCGAAGATCAAATTCAACATTTACAGTTAGCTCATAGTTTAGCTCGAACATTTAACAAACGCTATGGGGACACATTTCCAGTACCTGAAGTTCTTATTCAACGTAAATACAATATATATATATATCTTAAATAATATATTATATTGTATTATTAATAATATAATTTTTCAATTTGTATCTTTAGAAGATTGCTCTTCAAGAATAAGAAATCTTCGTGACCCAATGAAAAAAATGTCTAAGTCTCATCCAGATCCTCGCGGAAGAATAGAAATCACGGATGCACCAGATGTCATTGTAGAAAAAGTGAAAAAATCTGTTACAGATTGTACATCTAAAATAACATATGATCCTGAAAATAGACCAGGTGTGTCAACGCTCTTAACTATGCATTCACTAGTTTGTGGACTATTGCCAGAAGAAATTTGTGAAGAAAATGTGCTCTTAGATACTGGAAGGTAAATGAGTTTTAATCTTCTAGTCTGTATTGCTAACATTTTATATAACCTACCCTAACAAAAAATAATTGTAAAATATTGTAACTCGTTTTTAAGCAATAAATAATGATAATAAAAACTAAAGTAGAGTTACAATATTATTTTAATCTTTAACAGTTATACCTACATAGTACAAGCGTGTAACTATTAATACTTTTTTCAGGTATAAACATATAGTAGCAGAAGCATTAGTTGAAAAATTTACTCCTATTCGTCAGGAGATCTTAAAATTGATAGATTCACCAGAATATTTGAGTAAAGTACTACAAGAAGGACAACAGAGAGCAAATTTGATTGCTTTAGACACATGGCAGGAAGTAGCTTCGAAAATTGGTACAATATCAAGCAATGAGATTTTAAATCATAAATAAAAAACTAGCTAATAATTTAATACTATAGAATTGTTTTTTTGAACATTAAAGAGCTTTAATCTTTTTTTATAACTATTCTCATTTACAATTACATGGTTATTCTTGAATTGATTTCCTGTTTTTCCATTCTTCTAATTGTTTACGGGCACTTTCAATATCAGCATCAGTTACTGTTGGTTCTACTCCACATTCAACCTCTTCTTTTTTAGCCCATTCTAATGTTTCCAATTTGTGTTTCAAAAATATTTCTTTTTCGTTATCCAATTCATTACGATATTCAGCCAATTTTTTTGATTTAACTTCATCACACCATTGAGATGTAAGGCGCCGTAATGATTTTTTTCTTTCTACTCGTTCATAAGGCCTAGAATAGAAGTACAAATTATGAATGTAAATATTTTGGAAAATTATTATAAAATATACTTACGGGTGAGGATGATACTTTAAATCCAAATTTTCCAATAACCATTCAAACTTCTTATAGTCCCAAGTTCGTAAATGTTTCAGTCTTTTTTTACGTTTATCTATTATTTCTTTTAATGCTACTCTAGAATTTTTATCTCTTGGAGCTAATTTGTAGTGTTCTTGAAGATTACGAATGTTTGATGTCATACTGGCAACTAAATATGAAAACATGAATATTTATTGGTTATGAATAAATTGGGGACAAATCTCAGTATAATAGGTTATATTATTTGTTAAACATACATGCATATTTAATCAATAGTTAAACACAGTTTGGTGAGAACTTATAATTTTTTATTAACATTGGTTCGTTGTAATTATATTATTTTATTAGTTATAACGAGGTCTTAAAATGAAATATTTATGAACATAATTACTTTTATAATTTACTTTCTTAATTCTGGACTTATTTTTTTATTTTAACACACAATAGAAATTCGTTAGTTATAAAAAGTTTATTGTGTTCCAGTATAAAATTATCCTTTACCGAGATAATGAACCATGTCAATGACATGGTGCAAACATTCTGATGAGTGACTTTTTATATTCACACTGGTTTGAACGAACAAATTTGAAATGACTAGATAAAGACAAATACCAACCTTAATGATATTGATTTTATGTTGGATTTTAAGCATTAGTTGAATTATTTGTCTTTTTTTGGGTTTACATCTAACATGTGTCCAGATTTAAGAAGTGAAAAATCATAAAATGAATCACTAATTGAGTTTGAATTAAATATTTCAATTTTCAACTTAGGCAAAACAGTAAATGATAAAAATATTGATTAAAAAAGGGCGTTCGGAAGTACCTATACGAAAATATTTATCAGGTCTCATTCTATGTATACAATACAATTTCTTATAAACTAAAATATGCATATAAATAAATAATGAAAACAAATTTAAATATTGCTTCCTATTACTCTGCATCCTTTCTAGACAAATATGAACAATTTAAAAGTTCTCAGCCTGCGTTATAACATATTATACAGATGATTATAGTTTTTTTTTAATAAACATACTATATTGGTCTAATTCAACAAAAAAGAATATATAATTTTTAGTCATCAATATTATAATATTATGATCATACTTTGAACTTCGCATGATGTGAAATCTAAATTATTGGATTTGACCTTATCAATGAGCTGTTGGCGAACCAATTGCGTTGCATACCGCCGTCCCATAAAATCACAAGAAAATACTTTACGCACATATTCATTGGCTCTAAAATAAAATTTGGTTAATAAAAACAAATACTTGTATAACCATTAATGTCAATAAAAAAAATTAAGGTATGTTAATCATTTACGTTTTTAGTTCCTCAGAATCTTGATATTCTAATGGTGGTTTAGTCATATCCAGTGGCTCCAGGGGTGACAAGTCACCAGATTTTTTAGGATCCCAGCATGCGATTTTTTCTGGTCGGACCCATTTTATGTGCAAATCAGACTTAAGGCCCCTAACTGATACAATTAAACCGTTCCCAGGGTGAATGAGTGAACGTAACGTATTGAACATGACGGTACAGGGAACAGAACTGAATGATATTGAAATGGATAGTTATTATTAAATCATATTAAAGTGACAGAATTAAACTTAAAATCTATAACACAATTAAGAAAGAGAAACATTAAAAATTCCAACGAAAAACTACTCTGCTTTTCCATATAATTTGTCATTTAATCGTTATCAGTTATCACATTGGTAATTATTAATTTTTATACCAGAGGCACGATGTAGAACTGAAGTCGAAGATATCTTTTCTACATCGTGAATAGAGGTTAGAGATGAATGAATGATAAGCATCATGGTTGTAGGTTACTACCGTGTACTATAACCACAGATCTTATAATATCAGCTATGACTATAACCTTAGATCATATACCTATGTTTATGATCTAAGACTATAACAGTCTTTACTGTGTAGTATTTCCATAGACTTAGAGAAAATCTCCAAGTCTATGAGTCTATGATTAATATTAATTAACAGTATAACCCCATGATAAAATAAACCTGACCTATTTCGTCAAGTATAACCCTTGCGTGGGCCGTACTACTGTCGCCTAGAATAGTAGAATTATAGACTGTTGAAAGAATACATTTTGGACTATTGTGCTTATAAGTTATAGCTCGTTTTCAGCAGTCTGCTGTCAGCATTTAGTAGTGGTACCTAAGTTTTAGGCCCTTAGCATAACCCTCAACAGTTAACTTTTATAGTTGCACTCTGCACAAACCAGTGGCGTAGCCAGGATTTTTTTTCAGGGGGGGGGGGGGGGGGTTTTACAATTTTTTCCACAGCGGTGGTTTAGTTT